ATTAAAGGATGCTGGGATTTATTATCTCACTTTGTTCTCTGTTTTCTAACACTTCTTTCCACTTGTGCGTCTCATTTCCACATACTCTATTATTCATACAGATATTAGTGCCATGTAAAAGATGATTTTTATAAGCTGTCAGGAATCCAGCGAGGAAGTGAGAGCGCTGAGGGGCGACGCTGTTGCGTCTGTCAAAACGTAAGCCGGATGAACATTGGGAAAAGATTCGTTGTCCTCCTTCCCTCTCATTCAGAAGACCCTCAGTCTGATTATATGAAACAACATCAGTGCGGTCGCAAACACAAAAGCATAACTGTATCAGCTACCCGTCTCTGTAATAGGAATGAATTCGGAGATGCATCACTCAGGCCCAGTGGAAATAAGACGCCATTTAGCCTCAGCTTTCCCTCACACTGCCTGAATTTAGAGAAGCCTTCAACATGAGTCCAACAGCATATTAATGCAGTATTTATGACTGGCCCATTTAGGCTTCACAGAGTCCAAAGTGCCCTCATTAGCCTCTCATTAACACAGGACAAAGAGCAGAGATGTTAATAAATCCTTAATTGAATTACATTCCTCCCTCTGGAGAAAAGTTATGATAAAAAAATGGGGAGGTTTGGTGCTAAAGTGATTAACACGATTTTAATGACCATAATTCAGTGGCATTTCATTGCTGGTTTTTCATATAGCAAGAAAATGTGCCTTTAATATAACTAATACAAAATACATAATTACAATGAAAAATATAGATGGAGAAATTTAACTAGACAAACAATGAAAGCGACAGCAGCTGTCATTTGTGTGTGTGTGTGTGTGTGTGTGTATATATATATATATATATATATATATATATATATATTTACACATTTTAGAGGCTAATTTGTGAACATAAATGCTGTCATATTCTATATAAAAATACATATTTATCTATATAAAAATGATATATGAGTGGAGTATATCAATATTTGCTGAGAAAAGCCCTTGATCCCATTCTTACATTCTATACGTGTATAATTAATAATTCATAAAAAATATTCCTGTGATGGCAATACGCTAATATGCTGAGTTGGCGTTGACTAATGGTGTTGAAAACAGTTTTTGCTGCTTAATATTCCTGAGCACCAAATCAGAATATTAGAATGATTTCAGGAGGAGGTGAAACTGAAGACAGGAGAATTTAAACATTTCAATAATTTCAATAATATAATAAAATTATATTTTGTATTTTTTTAAATGAATAAATTACATTTTAAAATAAATTAAAGCAGAAATTATTTTAGATTGTTGTAATATTTCACAATATATAATATAAATTGTGATGTAGCCTAGTTGCTTTGCTGAATGCATATTCCTGGTCAAATCCAGGTCACGTTATTCCAAGAAAAAAAAAAAATCATTGTAATTTTTCCCTATCGACTGATGTCATCAGTACATGTGGGCTACCGGATAGTGTTAACCAATTTTAGCCCTCCCATTCAGTGTAGAATGTATCACCCACTTTTCACAATCCATTGCGTTCCTGAATCAAGTACCGCTCTATATTTTTCCTAGTTGTTTCACTCAGGTATATTCCAAGTAAAATGGAGTTGCAAACTGCATTTCGTGGTCATGGCCTTATTTTGAGAATTTCCTCAGTTGAAAAAGTGTTAAAATTGCTTTTGACACATAGAAAATCTGTAATAAAGGGAATTGCTTTGGGTTTTAGAGGGCAACATTTGTGTTATGGCCAAAATAACATTTGATATTGCAACAGTAAGTGATATTAAAACACGTACCAGCCTTTCTGTCACTCTTAGGGTCAACTTTAGTACGTGGAAGTTATTTTATTGATGTAATTTAAATATGAAAATCTTCCCAGATCATCTTTCATCTTACTAAGTTCAACCAATTTCAGTAAACGTTTGTCTTGATAAAATGACATATTGGTTTTTGTAGCTGCAGAGACTGTTACTGCAAAATTCAAACCATTTTTGCTTGTCTATCTTAACATCATTAAACTTCATATATTATGTATTTTTTTTACCTTTCAAACAATTGACTTCTTTTGTTGGATTATACTGCCTCTTTAAGTTTTAGCGTTTTATCGTCATGAAATCTGCATTTTATAAACCTAAAAATGCAGATATGGTTTCTCGAATCCCATCTTGTGCAAAGGCCACTGCTCCTTGTTTGTGTTTGCCACCTTGTTGGTTGCCTACAGCTGGGTTTTAATGAAAGTGTCCACTGACACTTTCAGAGAGACAAATGTGAGAGTCTGTACCCTTCTAATCTTTTTCTGCTGTAATCACACGAGTATGGCATATTTATTGAGGAAATACAGTCCTCTCCTCTCGAATGAGTGCTATATCATTATGGGACAGATTTAACCGTAGAATACAGATGTGTCTCATTGGCTCTCATTGGATGCCTTCAGTTTCAAGTTGCTAGAAAAGGAGTTTTGTAATAAGGCAGGATAATATGCATGTCTCTTGATCTAATGGAGGAAGTAAGGTACTGTATGCGCCTATATAAACAGTTTAGTGGGGTTGAGCAGAGGATGGAGGTAAAGAGTGGGTGGGGGGTTACAACACGAAATGGCAGGTTGGCGTTTACACTAGATTAATGAGCTAAAGGAATGATGTTCCTTATCACTGCACTGCACATGTTTCTAAATTAATGCAAAAGAAGGCGCTCCTTCTCTTTCTCCCTCTCTTTTTTTCTTGTCACTTCATTTCTTCTGGTACTGTATGCATCAGGTGATACATTTGCATCCAACCAGCCCCCCTCTGTTTTTATCCCCTCCCACTTAGTGCTCACCATAACAAGGCTTGTAGAATGGACCAATGGGAATCAGCTTGAAGAGTGCTTGTTTGCTCACAGTGCTTGTGAGGCAGATATATTGATATTCCTCCAGCATTCTGGAATGGGGTTTGTTCTAAACCTCTAACGTGATTTCTGCAGTGTATTCAGCCTAAAACATTAAAGACTTCCTTCACACTTTGATTTGTAGATAATTAGGCAATTTTTTAAATATTTTTTGTAGTCTTTATATCTTTATTACATTTGAAGTGAAAAGTTTGAAATTATCCCGGAATGTGCAGCTTTCAAAACAACCAACTGCAAAGTTCTTACATACA